GAGTCTGGTTCGCAAACCGAGGCAAGGCACAGAAGAGGGTTCTGAAGTCCGGAGGCAGGGCTCGCAGCCGAGACTCTGAAACTTCTGAATGAGCACATTATGCAGTATCACCAAGCGCTCAACTGGTGACGTCTGAGTCTCAAGGTCGGTCAAAAATGGGGTGTCTACAGGCAGGTTTGTAACAGGTTGGGTGTGTTTTGAAACAAGTGGTTGCTGCCCAGTTTTTGGTGCCTTCACTCGAGCGAGGCTTTTGTCGCTCGAGCGAGCTCTATGTTTTAGTCATTTCGCTCGAGCCAATGTTCCTTCGCTCGAGCGTGCGTCTGCGTCTAGTTTTGGACCTGAAGATTGTGTTTCTTGGCTTGAGCGAGCTTTCCTTTGCTCGAGTGAACGAGGACTATGTTTTGGGTTTCTTCGCTTGAGTGAACTTTTCTTCGCTTGAGCGTACTTCTGGGTTGCAGACCTGAAGTTTTGTGTTGTTGGCTCGAGCAAGGCTTTATGTGCTCGAGCGAGGTTTATTTGTGTCTGGTTGCTTGAGCGAGGCTTGAATATATTAGTTCGCAATAGCAGCTTCTTCTTTACTTTTTCACTATCTTCTTTACACAAACCCTAGATCTGGCTGCTCTTCTCTCTCTATACACATTCTCTCTAAGAATACACCTAGTTCTAGTGTGTTTCTATCCTAGTTCATTTGTAAGAAAGGTGGAGCTTGGTGTGGGCTACGTTTTGATCTAAAAATCATTGGGTTTAGTGCATCTTGAGTTTTCTTCATCTTCTCCATTTGGTCTCTTCTCTTGAGGTAGGGATACCCTACTCCTTCTTATGAGTTTTGACATAGATTTCAGTCATTTTGTATAAATGATGAAATATGAAAATTTTGGGAAGTTTAGGGTTTGATTTAAAGTTATAAAAATGGGGGTTTTCAATTGTTAAACTCCATGTGTATGTGAGACCTTGAAAAATAGAATTTTTGTTGTATTATTGATGAAATTGAGCCTTGGGATTGATAATTGAAAAGGGAGAAAATGCCCTAATTATATTGAGTAATTAATTTGAATAATTAATTTGGAAAAAACATGAAATTGAGTTAGAAATCATGAAATTGGGGAATTATAAGATTGAATGGTGTAGTTGGATAATTAAATCACTCACCTATGAAAATGTTGATATTTTATCTGTTTGATAAATTTATTACCTGTTTAGATATAACTGCTTTGGGCTATCGGTGGAGAATAGTCTTGATTGTTGTAGACACTGTATGTTGATTAGGAAAAACTGAAACTAATCAAATGTGTTATGTCATTGAATATGACAGTTGAAGTGCTACATTGAATGTGTGCCTGGATTGATCATTGTATATGATGAACTGTTTAAATACATTGCATATGTATCTTGTTTGGGAGGAGATAGGGGGTGTACTCCATGGTTTGGCAGGAGATAGGGGATGTACTCTCAAACCCGTTTGGGAGGAGATAGGGGATGGACTTCATTGATAACTAAGTTGGCCGGAGTGTCCAGGGTGAAAGTCCCGAAATCCTAATTACGTTTGCATAGCGTAGATAATTGAAGTATTGGAAGTGTTTTTGATATGAGTTGTAGTCTCATTTAATTGTTTGGCTAGGCTAGATAATGAGCCATGTTTATAAATTTGAATTGGTTAAGTAAAGGAAAGTGGAATGAAACATGAACGTATTTGTCATGGAACTAGAAAGTGTTGTAAGTTGGTTTACAAATGTTAATCATTTATCGAATGCTAATGTTTTAGTTATTTCTCATATTTGGTTTAGTACATCTCTGCTGAGTTTTGGCTCACCCTTTATGGGACATCATTTTCAGGTATAGATGGTATGCCACCTCCAAGGACATAGCTTGGGAGGCTTAGAGGCCGAAAGATCTTTTGTTGCTATCTTTTTGTATTACATGTAAATCAAGCCAATGACTTATTTTGTATAAAGAGTTAGAACTCTTCTTTTGTTAAGCCTAAGTGTTAACTTGGAAAGTTGTAAGCTGGTAGGGCATTTACTTTTGTTGTCAACAAGTAATACTTTTGTACTAAATACTCTGATGAATGGAAACATATTTTACTCTCTTACGTTTATAAATGTCATGAATGTTGGGTTTATATGCTTTATTTTGAGGACGTTACATTTTTACCTATCATAATGATAGAGATTCAAGGTGGGAAAATAAACCCAACTACAATTAAAAAATAAAAAATAAATAAAGTGTACCTACCGCTTCCAAAATGGTTCTTCTTTGCATTTTTGAACTCCTTCTCTCACACACTATCCAGCTATCAAGCTTAACAAACAAACTGTTGCATAAGTGAACTCTCGCTCAACCTTGAGGATTGTCTTCAATTGTTAGTGGGTATGCTTCCATATAATTGTTTAGTATTCAATTCTTAAGATCAGGCCACAAAAAAGAAATAGAAGATTAATTGAGATATATGTAAATTGATTCGGACACTTTTACCGTTAAAATAAAAAAAATAAAAAAATCTCTCTCTCCTTTGTGGTCCTTTGTACCCTCTTCCCCCAATTCTGACTATTATTCTACGATGTAATATAATGGAAGCCCAAGAAAAATAGGCATGTGTCTACCTCAATGGATCCCCACCACCACCGCCACAAAGAATAAAATTAAACCAGCTTGATGAAATCTGTATTAACCATTTTCATCATTTGCATACAATATTATCAAATGATTTGTTTTTACTTTATTTTTAAGTCTTCGAGGAAAACAGTTTTCAAGATTTCTAGAATCCATCGTGTATGAGTTAGTTTTGTTTGTTAAGTTTTCTTCACTATTGGTATCATACATACTAATTGGTATGTTAATTGATGTATTAATATATGTTATGACTTCACCGATCAATCAACCAACTAAAGTCTTAAGTCTCATCAAATGTAGTTGGTTGCATAAATCTTTCTTCTCTACTCGACTCTATCCAAGGCTATTTTGTTAGTCAAATTAAGGAGATTCATATCTCTATTTACTACACTAATTCACGTCAATCTAAGTCTACCATTTCCCTTAACACTACCATCTACCGTCACTGTATCGTTTCTCTTCATTATTGCCTCTGTTGTTCTTCATTGTATATGACCAAACCATCTCAATCTATTCTCTCTCGACTTGTCTTCTATCAATACTATTCCTATACAGAGGAGGAGGGAGTGAGGGACCAGGGGGTCACATGCCTCTTATATTTTGAGATTTTTTTTATATTTTGCAAACATAAAGAAAATATTTTAAATAAAAAAATTACAAAAATATTATTAGGATGAAATGTCAATGACATTTTAAAAATTATGAGAACAATAAAGGTTGTTTTGATTGAAAATAAAGATACTACAATAAACCATATTATTTATGAAATTTTTTTTGAATGTAACGGTGATATTATTATTAACATGCAAATATAAAATATCTTAGGATAAATTACATATACCTCCCTTGAGGTTTAGCTAAATTACAGATACCTCCCTGAGGTTTCGAAAATTACAGATACCCCATGAGGTTTATATTTTTATAACAAATTGCCCTCAGAGGTTTATATTTTCATAACAATTTGCCTCCTAATTTGTTATGAAAATAGTACCTTCCGGGGAGTATCTGTAATTTCTCAAACCTCAGGGGGTATCTGCAATTTTGCTACACCTCGAGGGGGATATATGTAATATATTTTTTTGAATGTAACGGTGATATAATTACTATAAAGATATAAACTATATTGAATTGATAGTTACATTTGATATGCGAGGTTCACCTTCTATATTTTTATTTACTATTAGTTGGTGATATTACATACCATTGATGACGTGGTGTTATCATTATATTGAATTTTTAATTAAGTTTTGTATAAAAAAATAATTTATCATTATATAATTTATTTTAAGACTTAAATTCATTTTTTTTTTGCATTGTCCAAGATACACTAATTACAAATAATATTATTTTTTGATATTTTTCAAAATCAATCGTAAAAACTTGAGTGAAATATTTTTGTAAAATTTTTCGATATTGTAATTAATAAGTGTCCCTCTAATCTAATTTTCTGACTCCGCCACTGCTTTTACCTATTCTCCAATGTACTAATTCCTAACTCTGTCTTTTCTAGTCTTGCCATACATCTGCCTTAACATTTTTATCTCAATAACACTTATTTTATGTACATGTTTCTTAGTTGCCCAACATATGCTATGACATTGCCACTTTAAAATTATAGATTCCACTCATTATACAAATTATAAAGATAAGTTTTTAAATTTATATCATATCATCTGTTAATACACTAATTGATATATCAATTAATACATATATTTTTATTCATTTATGTACGCAAAGATTTACTCAGGTGTGTGTTGATTGCGCTCACTAGGTCAAATATCACCTTCATCATAGTAGTGTCATTCTAGCAAGGATCCTCTCCTTACCTTCTCTACTTCACTTTTTCTTTGCAATGGTCAAAATTCATTTTAAGAGAATTTAATGGTGTAAATCATTCCAAAAAAATTATTTTTTAATTTTTATTTTTTTGAATAAATTGATCTAAGCCGTTAGATTCACTTAAAATGAATCATGACTATTGTAAAGAGAGAGTGAAGTAGAGAAAGCAAGGAGATAATCCTTGCTCTACACACTATATTAATAACAAAAACAAACTTGCTCAACTTAATCTCACTTTCTCTTTCTTTTTTTTGGGAGGTCTTGAATTAATCTCACATTTTGAAGCGCATGAAGTTGGCATGCCTACGGACATTTATTGGCCGACTGAGCTGTTGGACCAATTCTCTCTCTCTCTCTCACTCTCTACGTAAGTATGCAGTGCATGAAACCTTGAGCAGGAGAGAAACCATCTCCTTAACTCGCCGCCAAAAATTCACCCAACTCACCCCTAAAACCTAAACTATAAGAACTCTTCTCTTCCCATCTTCTCCATCATAAGAACCAAAACTACAACCATTACAACACTCTCTCTCTCTCACCCTTCCCTAACAATGGCTTTCAACTCTAAATCCGCCCTCTCATTCCTTCTCATCTTCAACATCCTCCTCGCCATAACCAACCGTGCAGTCTTTGCCGGACGTGCAATCCCAACCGACTCCAAAAACACAAACATGAAACAACCCGACTCGTTCATCGGCAAGGATGGAAGCGTCCTTGTTCCGGGCATTGGCCGTTTCATGCTCCCACCCCTGGGCCCCGGTTTCGACCCGTTCACCTACAACCCAGTCACCGGCACCAACGGAGGATTTGGCATTGGCAGTGGCAGTGACACTGGCACCGGAGCCGGCACCGGTGGCAGCTACGTTCCAGGTGGCGACGATACATTGGTCCCAAACCCCGGTGTTGAGGTCCCGAATCCCGGGAGTGGAATTGGTGGCAACACTCCTGGGGCTGCAGCAGCTCGTCCTTGAGTTTTCTTGCTAGATGTTGAAGGAATAAACATGGTCTCTCTCTAGCTAGATACATATGTATGTGTTCTCCTGTTAGTTTTAATAGTTTTTACTATTATGAAAAATGATCCGGACGCTTTTCCCCTACATCCTTTGACCTCTTTTTTTTTTAATTGGTTAATTTTTTTTTTTCTCCGATCACCACTCACCACGTGTGTAGATGATAATTGAAGTGGTCTCAATTACATCCCTACTATTATTCTCTTTCAGTTGTACTTTTTTATTGAATAAAATGCATTTTTCTTCATGCAATTAATTGTTTCTGGACCTACATTTTACATATACCCCAAAAATAATTGACTGACAATTTTTTTTTTGTTTTTTTAATGACGAGGAGTTTATCCAAGACCAGGCCCTTTGAACTCATCTACACAGAATAAATTCTGAATATCTATAAAAAAAATTCAAACTCGAGACATCCAAATTTATGGTTCACCTCAGAATTTGTTTCCTTAACCGCCAAGCTACTCATGCCAGTTCACAAGGACAATATTACTAAGAAATACAAGTAAATAACATTGACATGAACATACACAATTGAACAATCTCATAGTTTACTTATTGAGTACCAGTTAAAAATATTTATGTAATTAAAGATAGATGTATTTGCTAGATATATCAATATAATTAAAGAATTATATGACAGAACTGTGAGAATAATAGAAGAAATAAGTGAATTTTGAATAACTATATTTCTATCAAAGATTAACATTTAGTCCTTAATTTTATCTAATATTAGTTACAAATGAACTTACTAAAAAAATTGAGATTAAAATTTTGCCTATATTATTTGCAAACGATATAATTTTAATTGACAAAACAAGGGGAAGCTAGACTTTAAGCTAGACTTAAAGTCTAGCCCACCCGTCTGAAGAGTTCACTATGGCATCAATTTGGAAGTGGATGGAAGCAAGTCAAAGGGTAGACTATACAGTCACTAGGTGCATTTGGAACAATTTAGCCCCTCTCAAAGTTCAATTCTTGAGTTGGCTAACGTGGAGAGGAAGGATTAAATGTTCTGAATTTTTGCAAAGAATTGGAGTGTTGAGCCCAAATGCCTCTGCTCTCTGTGTGTTCTGCAGATCTGGGGTGGAGTCTGTAAATCATGTTTTTCTGCACTGTCCTATTATTTGGAAATTGTGGGCCAAGCTAGTGAACTAGTGGAATTATAAGTAGGTTATCCCTGGATCAGTGGAGGGATTACTTCTGTCGTGGTCAGGTATAAAAATGAAGAAGAAGTTGCAAGCAATATGGAAGATAATACCACTAACAGTTATGTGGTCTGTGTGGAAAAACAGAAATGATTGTTTATTTAATAAGGTACAACCGGATTGGAATGCATTGGAAGACCTGATAAAGGCTAGAGTTGCGTTGTGGGTTTCTTCATCTTTAAAGGGGTTTAACTATTCGGTGCAAGATGTTGTGTAATAACCCGACTCTCATACATGTTCTTTGTTATATTTTCGGATCCTATTTTGTGATTTTGGATGCTTATTGTGTAATTCCATGAGAAATTAGGGATAAGAAAGTTAACTCCATGTTTAAAGCATATGTTTAAGGATGTCTATCTGTTCAACAAGAAAAGTATCTGTTACATTAGAAGGTTTGAATCGAAATTGGAGGCCTTTAAGGCTTAATTATCTAAAATTGATTTTAGACATGTAATCAGCATAATTTTTAGGTAATATTAAGCATTTTTGGGAAATTTCAATTTCGGATGTTTAAACGATTGACTTTTGTCTTATTAGCTCTTATATATATATATATATGTTCTTGGAGCCTTGGACTTAGTTCAACACATTTCATGGGAAGGATAGAGAGAGTAAGAATAGAGAGAAATGAGAAGGGAGTTTTAATAAAGGCTAGAGATTGAATAACCTAGAGAGACTTTGGGAGATCTCAACTCAAGGTAAGTTTGTCTAACTTTTATAATTCCTCTCTTGAATTTGAGGGTAATACAACCATGATAATTGAACCCAAGATGTAATTGGATCATGTTTTATCCATTGGATGAGTTTGAACTAAGTTGCTTATGTATGTATGTGGAGAAATTAGCTTTGATTTCTTACTTTCTCATGAAAGATCATGAAGAACTTACCATATATATATATATATATATATGTGATGGTATATGTGATGTTGATGAAAAAAGGAAGTTTGATTATAGTTAAGGATTCAAGAATTAGTGTTTATCTAGTTTAATGTATGTATTTGAAGCCTTTGTAACATGAATTTTAGGCTATGGATTGTCAACTAAAAATGTTAAATTGAGCCTTGTGAGGATGTACCAAAAGATTGGGATTTTGTAAGAATTTTCGGGCAATTTTGGGCAGAATCGCCGCACGTGCGGGGGTCATGGCCGCACTTGCGGGAGGTGTTGCCGCACGTGCGGGAGTCATGGCCGCACGTGCGGGAAATGGTGAAAAACAGGGGCTTGGCCACTGTCTAAAAGGCACGTGCGGGGCATTTTGCCGCACGTGCGGGAGAGCTTGCCGCACGTGCGGGGCTCACAGCCGCACGTGCGGCCCATGTTGAAAAACGTGGATCGCTCCGTTTTACGTATAGAACCCTCTAATGTTGTCGGAATATGTCTTTGATGCCTTTTAATATGTATAAATTCCTTCGAAGTGGAATGAAACATAAAGTAAAATGATAAGCAAAATGAACTAATGAGCAAGTTTTGAACGTGTGCAGGACACACCTTGGGAGGAAGTAAGACGCCACCTCGACACTATGAGTAGTAGTACTGTCGTAGTATGCTTTATTTACAGCTAATGGTCACCATGAACACTCTGTTAATTGCAGGTTAACTATGTTAACGCACACGAACGATGATGAAATAAATGTGTATGCTTCTGATTAATAGTTAATATTCATAGTCTATCCTCCGTAAGTGAACTATGTCGTGCTTAATGAATAAAAAGGAACTTAGGATCATTCTTGAACAACGATTTCGATGTGAACATTGAGAGATTTTGGCGTACATCGGTACGACTCTGAACCTACTTTGCATTTTGGTTAAGGTCCATGATCATCGTTAATGTATCAACTTGTAAGTTACCCATGATTCCGTATAAGAATTGCATACACACTCTTAACACTGTGAAGTTGGTTGTTCTGACCTATTAATGTAATGATAGCTTTGTCTTCGGGTCATCGTTAAAATGAACGTTCTGCTAATTGCAAGACAAGTATGTCGATTTGCAATGAACCAATGAACCATGAGGAAATCTAAACGCATCATTAGGTCATACGTTGTTTACTGTTAATAGTTAATGTTAACATTCTGTTTATTATTGATAATGGATACTAACACACTGTTATCTGTAAGTCAGTTGTATGGATTTATAACGAACAAGGGAAATTTAAGTGTATTACGAGATTATGGTGTCTGCGTATCTCTGGACTCGTTTAATATGTAATAACATTCTGTTATCTGTGAACTAGAGGTAGTAATTCATGACTAACAAATGGGATGTGACTGCATTATGAAGTTCAATCTGGTAATAGTTGCTATTAGCACTCTGTTGAACGTAACGTAACTATGTTACCTCATGTGAATAATTAGAAGGAACTATGTGTTTCTGTATGATTTATGAGGCCGAGGGCCAGCTTGTGAAATTATGAATATTTGTGAAATTGTGAACTTATGAGGCCAAGGGCCGACTTGTGACTCTAAGAACTTATGAGGCAAAGGGCCGACTTGTGAATCTATGAACTTATGAGACCGAGGGCCAACTTGTGAATTTGTGAACTTATGAGGCCGAGGACCAACTTGTGAAAATATGAATCTATGAGGCTAAGGGCCAACGTGTGAAACTATGAATTCAAAGGGCCAAGGGCCAAGTTGTGAAGTTATGAATCTCAATTATGAATCTATAAAGCCAAAGGCTAATTGTGAATATGTGAACCCACCAGGCCAAGGGCCACTCTGTGAATGTGTGAACCTATCGAGTATGGAACAAAGTGCTGTACGGAACTAAGTGCTGCCATGCGAGTCACCTCTAGAATCCGTGCGAGCCACCTCTTGAGTTCATACATACATGATAAGGGCTTTATGCCATTCTGTAAGGGCTTTATGCCATTCTGTTAAGGGCTTTACGCCATTCTGTTAAGGGCTTTACGCCATTCTGATAAGGGCTTTATGCCACTCTGTTCAAGGGCTTGAAACCATTCTGTTTAAAGTTAACACTGGAAATATTACAGGATAAGTTAACTATATGCTCTCTGCACTTATACATGTCCATTGCCATTCACGTTAAATGTTGAATTGTTATGTATTACTATTCACTGAGCTTGGCTCACTTTATGCTATGTCTGTTTCTATAGGCGCTCCACTTGGAGGTCAGTCTTAACCCATGGCTTCCATTCCTCCTTGGTCAACCTCAGAGTGTCCAGGCACGAAAATGAAGGCAGCTCATTTTACAGAGTTTTGTTAAGCTTTTAGTTTTGTACCCTGATGGTCTGTTTAAGGTTAAAGTGTATATAATTCTTTTACCCTCCAATGTTTATGTTATACACCAATCTTGAGGGCTGGGTCTGTATATGTATGTGTACATAGCTAAATTCTTCGAGGCATGTCTTTGTATATCTATTTGCCATATGTTCTGTTTGTGATCCTGGCATAGTAGCGATGGCTCAATGGATGTTTTGTACGTTGTTAAATAAGATTAAATGCTTCCGTTCAGGCCCCATATCTTATATACATCGAGTTAAGTGTCCGTTTTTGAAGTGGTCATGCCCGAACTTGTAGGGGCAGGTTCGGGGTGTGACATGTTGTCTATAACCTGAATCAAGTGTGTCTCTGTGTGTAATTCAGTGCTGAATTGCTGGTCTATGGGGATAGAATGATGATCTGGTTTTTGTGGCTGGTATGTCCTGAATTGATGTCGTCAGCTGGTTTGTGTTGGCTTCTGCTAGTTTGTCCTGAACCTTGGTCTGCTTTGTTTCTGTGCTGGTCT